ATTTATATATATAATTTAAAAAATCTCGGCGACGTCGCTTCTATATATATATATATATATATATATATATATATATATATATATATATATATATATTATTTATAAATAAAAAAATACCGTTCGGTAGCAAACGGTCTGCGTACCGGTTTACTATCGGACCGATACATACCGCCCGTACCGGGTGATATCATTCGAAACTAGATACCTTACAATGCACACAACCTTACATGATCTGAACTATAACCCTGATCTCTCAGGTCACAAAAACACAATCTTACCATTGTACCAAAGTCTGCCCTCTTCCCTCCCAATTTCATGCAAATAGAAAACAAAATCCAGTTTCAATTCATGCAGCATAGCTGGCAACCCAAAAAGGTTAATATTATAATAGAGATCTAAATTACCTGACTGTAAAAATTCCAACAGAAATGTATTATTTTAGCTTGTAAATTGCTATAGTGCTAGACTGATACGATGACTAGTTTTTCCATGATGAAGTGACTAAAACTACACAAAAAAAAACCCTCGTGGTTTGGTCAGATGAGAGCCAAACTAGTGTGGGTACTTGAGCCAAACTGGTAAATATGACAGTTATATTAGAAAGTTAATTGAAAATGCTCGAGCACTTCCACTTTTCTTAAATAAGAAGATGCATTGATAACATTGTAAGCTTACCAAGAACCCCTGATGCAGTTATATGGGGATCTGAAAGGAACACATCATAAGGCTGAACCATCCTTAACTTGCCTTCTTTTTTTCTCCAAATGCTCCAATTCTCTTTGATTGAAGCAGCAGCTCTTGCACATAAACCAGGCAACAGAGAAGGAGGTACTTGAGTAGTTTGATCACCACCAAAGTGTTTTGGTTTCCCACTATTATGCTGTAAACATAAATGATAGCTCAAACCAGAACTTGAGGAAATGGAAGCAAGGTCAACTGCTAATGATAATGGTACATCCCAGTATGTTCCATTATTATCAACAAAAAGTCCAGGCCAAGCTGTCTCAAGTGTTAGGTTGTGATGTGGAAGCTGCATCCATAAGAGACATGTAGATGAGAAGTTATATCCTACTAAGTTTGCATCTTGAAGTAACAAGATTAATAGGATAGGTTATTACATGTGATATTAAACAATAAAAAATATAGTAAATGAACTGCAAGTGCAAAAGATAAACCAAAGTTTAAAAGTATGAGCAAATACATATGACTTGCCTTTTGCTGAAAAATTGCTTTCCCTCGATTTCCTTTCTTGACATTGTACATTTCAACAAGAAAAGAAGAATTCTGTGTGAACAGGAATTCAGTACCAAGGCCCCATGAGAATATGTCAAGTAAATGCTTGAAGATGATCTTTGGCCATGAGATCTCCTTGCCATGATTTGATGCAAATTCTTTAAAGAGGAGTGAAATTTTCTGCACATCTAACTGATCCATGATGGTAGTAGACCTGAAAAGCTATACTCCCTGATTAGAAGAAAATCACCATAAATATGTTGACGAATCTGCAACTAGATTTATCATACAAACACATATCAAAATTCTCAACCAATCAAAAACTTATCTTAAAATGTTAAAAAAAAGATTATAGAAGACTGCGACAAAATCTTACTACAACCAAGATAACATTATAAAAAGTTCTACAAGTCCAGACCAATGGATCCTGAAAGATACAAACAAATGCTAGCATACTTAATTTCATTCAAAAAGCTTGTGCATGCATGTTTTATAAAGCAATGCATAAAGATATTTTTCTTTAGATAGACAAGCAACTAATATTGAAATATATTCTTTTCTTTATGATGTGTGCTTTCATGTGCTACAAGTTTTTCTCTCTCTTTTCCTAAAGTTATGAAAGCAGCTAAAACCTATAACAAGAAGCAAAACTTCAAACCTTAAAGGTTTCACAAAACAGCATAATAAAAAAAATATATTTATTACCACAAAATACAGAAATGAAAAACTAGGAAGTCCAACATACTTGCATTATACTCGTAATTGGATTTCTGGAAAAGGCATACAGAACATATGACAGGTTGTTACAATAGATAATTAAAAGAAACATCCAACTTCAAAATTCAATGTCAGTGACACTCTTCCAAAAGCCACCACATAGATTAGATTATAAATCTAAAAGATCGGCCTCACAGCCTGCACATACTCCTAATAGTGAAGATTTGCAACAGTCTCTTATCTTGGGAAGCATATTATCTAGATTTATGAGTTCAGCTATTCCACCTATGCCTCAGTATACTAAGATGAATTAAATAACACAAACTCTAACCTGCAAAATCCCTTGTTTTGCATAGATTAAGAGCTACAAAACCAAACCCCTTCAAAATAATCAGAGAGGCGTACTGCTGCTACTCATCCAAATAACAAGCATTCAGGGTGTGTCGGTCATCAAAAGATTGAACAGATTACACAAAAACCAGATGCACATTGCCTTAATCTTGTATAGTGGACAGCTCAATTGACGGAAATTGGTAAGTTTTCACCACAAACAAGACACGAATAATCCATAAAGATTAATTCTTGATTGGGTTAAAGGCGGCATGTATTGGGAGAAGAGAAAGGAGAAGAAGAAACAAGGGGAAGGAAAAATGATACCAATTTTCGGTGAGATGAACGGTGTGGGCGTGGTGGAGGAGGAGGCCCTGCCCGCCGTTGGCGGGATCGCCGGCGAAGGAGGGGACGAGCGGGGAGGACATAAACCGGTGCATGAAGTCAAGCTGCTTGGGGCGGGTGATGCGCCGGCCGCGGGAGAGACCGAGAGGGAGGGGGTCGCCGGGTACCGCGCGGGCGGTGCCCTCCATGGTCACCGGCGCTTCCATGTCCAGCTCCCACCGCCCGCATCCCTCCTCCGCCCACCGCAGCCGCCCCATCCTCCCTCACTCCCTCCAGATTACGCCGGCCGATTGCGACCAACGCGAGCCGTGTACGCTCGCTCGCTCGCTCGCCAAGAGGCGTAATGATATCCACAAGAATAATTTTCGTACCCGTTTATTGCTTGCCCGACTCACACACGAATCGATCGGATCCGGACCCGGATCCTGATACGAATCCGGATTCCAATTCGTTGATAATATCCGACCCGTTTTCCTCATATGCGGTGGACCTCATCTGCGCACACATGATTTGCCGACCGCCATTCCGAGACCCACTTCACTACCATGCGGAAGTTTCTCCAGGTCTCCTGGGGCCCACCCAATGCGCTCGGGAAAGCAAACGTGGCCCACCTGTGGGACCCACTTGAACTCTCATCGCTTAGGTTATAAAGGAGAAGACGTATCGCAGTATAATATCTCATCTTCCGCCATTAAGTTCGATTCCTTTTCTCTTTCATTTCTTATCCGGAATAGAAAAGGAATTATTTTATACGGAGCAGACGTCTCAACAGAGAGCAATGGAAGCAATCGATATGGTGCCTCCATCCACTCGACAAAAGCGACGACTAGTAGTTGACCATCTTCTTCTCCAGATTCTCTCAGGCAACATGAAAGATTTGGACGTGTCGAGCAAGGGACCCAAGAAAAAGCTCACCAACACAAGGCATCATTGTTCATACGGCAGCGGCAGTGATGAGGGTGGTCACACCCCCACACACTGCCGCATGAACTCACGACACCTCTGCCCATTAAGAATCCCTCTCGATGATACGTAGCTTTTTGATGTTTTCTGCAACACCTAATCGATTCGAGTCGCCATCATTGCATCGTTTGGTAGCAGCCTTCTGCCCAACAATCATCTGGTAGAACACCATCAACCTTGTGTATCATACAAGCTCATTGATGTTGCTGGTTGAAGTGGGAAATCTTTAGATTCATGGAACAAATTATCACAATACCACAACTCATTTTGTCGGAAGAAATTAGACAGAATAATCGTGCAATTGAAGCTTGTTTACAGCCAATCCACATGGTTCCATGGAGCATAACACTTCTCTGCCAAAAAGATCAACACAGATACTCCTGTTTCAAACCAGTTCAGTAGGCAATTAGAGAAACCATAGATAAAACACAACAGAGAAGATGAATTGATCTTTATTAAAGCACAGACCAACCAACCAACCAAATTTTGCCGTACAAAGACACCCCCTCCCACATTCCAGAAAGGGAAAAGGATATGTTTCAAAAATGATATATTTACATCAACTTATCCAACCTGACACACCTAAAAGGATGGGAGAGTATATCTTCGTGCTTATAACTATATATTTCCCCTTATGGCTTGATCATATCAATAAGAAAATAGCCGAAAAGTATGAAAGGTATTCTATTAAACAGACACACCTCGACGGCAAACACCTTCCATAGCTTCCACAAACATGGCTGAAAAGCCGGTCAATGCCTGAAACACACCAGGCAGGCCTGTCTGTATGTTGTTAAGGGTCATCGATCGGGTGACCTCAACTGCCTTAGCATGCCTCATCATCTCATCTTCTACCTTTATCCGACAAGCTGTGATCTCTGATTTCTTCTCTGCCAGTGGGTCACGTGTGTCGAATACTTGTCCATCATTGTCACGTCCACCTCCTGGAAGCACCATGCCGACCATCGAGGACTGGTAGTATCTTTTCTCAATTCTTCTTAGTGCTCTAGACTTCTTCTCAAGCTCTTTTGAGTAATCCTCAGCCCGTTTCTTGATCTTCAGTTCCTCTGCCTGCTTTGTGTAGATGACATGGATGACATTCATGAAACTTTTGACAGCCTCGGATGCCACAGTGTTTGGCAGTCGATCTAGAGCTTGCTTCCACTCATCACAGAAGGCTGTGAGTTCAATCACAATGTGTGAAGAATGGTCTTTCTGGGGGGCGTCGCTGCTGATTTGGAGGAGCGTAAGATTAAGCCAGCCGTATAGGGAACGGACATAGTCACGATAGTATTTGATGAGGCGATTGAAGCTTGAATGCCATGCTGAGACAGCAGCTTCAAGATCACGGGTTGCCAGCCGATGCAAGTCAGAGGTTGATTCGCCAGAAGAGGCACGATTCACAAGGCCCCGGACTTGTTGCACAACATGGTTTTGGACATCATGAAACCAATTCATTTGGCTCCACATGTTCAAAAGCCTATAAGATGTTTGAACATTACACTATGGTTTAGACAGTTAAATAGATGCTTTAGTTTAGGTTATAATTGAAGCTAGAAGCAAGTCTTAGCAGTGCCTTCAACAAAATCATGGATGCTCTGAAAGTCAAAAAACTAAGATTTTGATCAGAGGAGAAACACTCACGCATAGCAAATCTGAACAAGTTGTGGTGCAAGTTCATCATCACGGACTTTGGTTATGGCAGAAGATGTGGTTGTGACAGCTTGAGATGTCACTATGATCAGCGATTGCAATTTCTTAATGGAAGCCTTGGTCTTGTCGAGTTTTGCATCCTCCTTTCCACTATATTCCTGGCTCTGCAGTGTCGACAGTTTCTTCTCATGCTCAATCTTTACGCCCTCTCTAGCCTGTACAGTGAAACAACAGAGATAACCACTGATGATAATAAAAGTAACCATCTTGATGACAAAAATTATATAGATAGCACACGCTTAAGGTACTTCTAATTCAGAGACCTTTGAATGGCTTAATCTAAGTGATACACTTGCCACATTACGTGGACCCTTGCCGTAAGCAGATGCTCTGTTCACTTGCAGAGATCAATAAAGGCAATGTGTTTGTGATCCCTAGGTGTTCACCATTAGGTTTATTTTTTTCCAGACTTGCTTACAATTTCTTATCTCTCCCTCAAATATATCTAATTAAATCACTTGCGCAATAAGGATAAAAGATTGATCGGTCAAATGGAGGAAATTGAATCTGTTTGGACCTAGTTTGCTACCAATACTGAAGGTACATTGATTCATCTGAAAGATTCCTTCTGACCGACCACTGTGTTGAATAACTGAAGAACTGAACAGTAACACACGGTTGTTTGTCACGTTACATGGTACTAGATGATCAAAAGAAAATGCCAAAGGACCACAAATTGCACAACTGCCTTCATGTACGATATCACATGCATTATGAGCTTGGTACTATGATCGAGAAATAAACATGAGTTTCCCTAAAGTCCAATCTAGTGATCCCATTAGCTTGAATCAAGCCAACACCATCTAGAAATAAACAATAAGATACAATTAACATGACCTTGGTTCTTTGCAAGTGACAGTCCCCTGTTAACTACCATGGGACAAGCACTTCTCTCTTTCTTCCCACCTCTATCAGCATCTTTAAGAATCTACTTGTAGTAGTACTCAATCTTCCTACTGACTGACCAACGTCAGACAATAAATTGGTAGCCTGTCAGCTCAAATGCTTCAGAGGGTTACTTCCAAGGCTTCAACCAAATGGTGCCCGTGGCCTATGAGTTTCTACAATCTGAACCGTGCTAATTGTTCAACTATGTTTCATTCGACCAAATGGTGGCAATAGCCTATAGGAGTTTCTAAACAGCACCATAGTTGCTCATGTATCAGTAGTTGACCGGCTTGCTATGAGCCTGCTCCAGGTATAACTATCATCGAGATAGTAACCATCTTTTAAGGAAGTCAGAGAAAAATACAACACGTGTCAGTGGTATCTTTAAACAAAATGAAATAAAATACATGGGAAACAATCGAACCAAAGTGCTAAAATTTACACATATCTGATTAATGATCTCAAGGAACAAATTTGCTTTACTATAACTTGAAAACAGACAAGGATAAAGAGTTTACTGTCACTCTGTAGAGAGTTCATCGTCACCAAGTCAGTATACCCCATAGGGAAAAAGATGAAAGCCCCTACATTTAAGAATCAGACAAAGATCAAGAGTAAAGTGACTACAAATTGTTTCATGTAGCAAGGGCTCCAAAATTTTCCTTTTAAGCACTCGATATTAATATCTCAATCCAAAACGAAAATTTTCATCCAAACTCATTCCAGTATGCATCCATCCATTTCTACGTAAATTTCTAGTGGCAATTCGGATGTATATATAAATTTCTACGATGATTCCATAAGACATTACGGTGACAACAAATAACACCAAAACGAAAATTTTCATCCAAACTCATTCCAGTATGCATCCATTTCTATGTAAATTTCTAGTGGAAATTCAGATGTGTATATAAATTTCTACGATGATTCCATAAGACATTACGGTGACAACAAATAACAGCAAAAGCAAGCTAAAAAGGTTTCCCCCTAAATATACCTTCACCTCCTCGTAGAGCTTCTTCTCCCAAGCCAAGAGCCGCTCCAAAGTGGATAAATGGCTCTTCCCTCCGCCTGACTCCTCTAAAGCTGCTGTATCCAAGCGGTACCGAATTGCCAATGGCGGCTTCGACGTCCAGCTCGAGGACAGAGCGCTCAGCACACTGTTCGAGTGGTACACCGTCTCTGAAATTTGAATACAACAAAGCTAATAATTAGTTTGAAGCCTTAACCTTGACTGCAACGCAGGACGAATCGTAATGGCTGCCATAAGCCCTAACGAAACATGGGCGTTCCTCCACTTACTCTTGAGCTGCCGGAAGCTACCGTCAAACTGGGCCCGGCCAATCTCGAGGAGATCCGAGACGGCGCTACCGGCATCGGCGGCCTTGATGAAGTACTCCTCGATCGCGGCCGCAATCTCCGCCAGGTTGTGGTGGCGCACCACCATCGGCAGCTCGGCAGCGGCGGCGAAAGACGAGGTAGTCTCCTGGACGCCGGCTTTCCACCTGGCGGACGATGATCCCGCCTCCGACCTCGGCCGCAGCCGCGTCTTCAGCTCCGCCGCCGCAGACGATGCGATCTCGGACGGCGCTGCCTGACTTGGGGCGTATTCTGATCTGGTGGCCGTGCTCTCTGATGTCGATACTGTGTCCCTTTCGTCTTCTCGTCCCTCCTCCCGCTGCGGCTCGCCATCGGATCGGGTGGAAGAGCTGGTGGGGCTGGTACAGTGCTCGCCCCATTCGCGGCAATAGACCTCTTCTCTTCCTCCTCGTCCTTCTTCCGCTGGCGCTACATGCTCCTCTTCCGACTCGTCCACTTCTTCTTCCGGGGGGAGATGGTGCCGGAGACGATTCTTCTCCTCGAGCTCGGTTTTCCTGCGTTCGAAAAACTCGGAATTGGGTGGCGAAGGCGGGCAGCATTTCGTCCAGTCCCAGGCGGAGGAGGACTGGGAAGGGGTGGTGGCGTACGTCGAGTTCCGTGGAGGGAACCCAGGGTGGCCGGCGTCGGACGCGGCGGAGGTAGAGGGCTTGCGGAAGGAGGTGGAGGAGGACACGACGGATGGAGAAGGGGAAGGGGAGAAGTCGTGGTGGCGGCGGGGGCGGCGTCGGGGACGCGGTGCCGGGGGAGATGGAGCGGGAGGGGGCTGGGGCTTGGACGGGGGGAAGGAGGAGGCGGCGGAGGCAGAGAAAGAGGAGCGGAGGAGGATGGGAGGGGTTTGCTCGGAGACGGCGAGGGGCTCGCCGAGGGCGAAGCGGGTGAGGGCGGAGCCGGTGAGGCGGAGGGAGCAGAGGTAATCGGAGTGGGCGGAGGCGAGGTGGTGGCGGGAGTGAACAGCCTCCTTCATGAGGCGGCGCCGCTCCTTGCAGCGGCGCACGCAGTCCTCGTTCTCCAGCCTCGACGCCGTGCACCCCATTTGCTCCCTCACAGTGGCGGCACGTAGAGAGAGAGAGAGAGAGAGCACGATAAATAGCCAAAAACCACAGATATGCCACTACTTACAACCTTTTTAACGTTTAGGTCCTCTATAACTGGGCACAACGAGCGAAGAGGATAAGCCGTTCGATTTGTCAATTTCGGTTCATTGGACGGTCGCGATTCGCTATCGACGCTCGACGAAGGAAATAAGGTAACCTGGGCTGTGGGGTCCACGGGTGAGGGGCCCGCAGTATCGCCCAATCGGAACGAGACTCTGTGTCCCTGCTGTCTCGAGCGAGACACAGAAGCCACACCTTACATGGCCTCGTCTGCCGGTGATGGAAAAGCAGGAAGAAGAGACAACGAGCCTCATCTCTCTCGCCGTGTCAAACAGCAGAGTGCTATTCAACACCGATGGAAAAGGAGCTTCATGATGAGATTAACCCGGTCATCCTCCACTTGGTTCTTAACCTCAAGGTAGAGAAAGGATCTCATCCAACTACAATGTGGATTGGTTTCACTGTCATCGGCTGCTAAATAACACTCAAATTGCAAGGTGAAGGTGTTTCTGCCTCCTGAAAGGTTCAAGTGAAAGTGTTACAGGAGAGAAAGCATGTAATGCATCTGCTTTATGGGGGGAGGGGAGCTTCGCTTTGGAGACGTGATATGGAGGGAGGAGATCAGAAGGCACCAAGAAAGTAGAAGGGGGCGTGGAAAGGAGAGGAGGGACAAAGTTGCCGATCCTCCTTTAGCTTGGACCAACCACCCATGTGCACGGTGCCTTCTTTTCCACCTTCTCGTCTTCCCTTCTCTTGGCCTCTTCTTCCCTTCCTCTCCTTTTTCCTCTCTTTCCTCCTCCCTCATCTGCATGGTGGATCCTATGGAAACTGTTGACCTTTATGACTCATGTCCACTCCGGTGGGAGCACTTGCAAGCGTCGAAGAATAAAGCTGCTGTGCTAGTGGGGAATAGGGTTCTCCTTCCCACACATCGTTAGATATGTATATTTATTGAAGCACTGTTCGTCCATTGTGTGTTCATCCCCCTGACACCAATATATATATACATAGATTTATCATGAAACGAAGGACCACTATGTTTGCTGGTTTCAAGCTGAAGCCAAATGCTTCCTTTTGCTCTCTTGCTTGCTGATGATAATTCTTCATTGCCATTACACTCCAAAAAGCGTCCTCGATCACTGTTCCAACTCCAGGTTGGGATCTAAATTACTAACACTCCTATAGCTCCTCACAGGCAGAACAGTTCCGATATCCCTTCCATTCGGCAATTGTTAATCAATCTCCAGGGTTTTGGGGATGTGATCTTAGCATTTGTGAATACTTCCAACTTAAAATAACTATGAGAAAGTGAGGGATCGCGGATGACTGTCTGAAACACTTTCAGTGTTTTTAAGAAGGAGAAGTGAATGGCAACGGGAATTGGAGACGCTATACAAACTTCTCCCTTTTTATAGCATATGTTTATCTTAAGTTGACAGGAAAGTATTTATCTTCCAAGAATACTTCATTCATCTTCATATTATCTTTCAAATTAGATCAATCATAAAATCATGATAATTGACTTAAACATTACGTCGAAAATATATCCGATCTAGATCTTTATGTAAATCGATAAATTGAACCTAATTATCGTAACACAATAATTTTTTGTTTTAGGATTTTTAGTATTTCTTTCATAAATTATAAAACATGAGGAATTAATATATAATCGTGTAACACCCCTAATTAATCTCATATCGAAAGTGGACAATATTAAGATTGACTTGGTCCGATGAGTGTATTATTATCAACTTCAGCTTAAGCATTTTTGTTAGTGATTTAGACCAAACGAAGTTGATAGGCTAATTAGCTTATCAAGCTCGGGTTATGATAATATATTTTAAATACATATTACTTTACAATTAAATATATTATAAATATGAAAAAAAAAATATTTAAATTATCTTATAATTATGATGTGTGACGAAATCATAGTATTCCAATACAGAATAATACGAATGTGTCGTAGAGATCCACGTAAATATTTATGGTTTAGATATTTAATTTGATGTTTTTAATATCCTACGGATTTATATTGTGTACATGCAGGAAAATTGTTATGGGCAATTCAGAGATATACTTGGAATGGGATTAATATGATTCGTCCTTTAACGATCGCCAATGAATGGGCTCAACGAGCGAGTTTGAGTTGGACTCACGTTTGGCTCAAACCCGTTAAGGTCGGCTCACACTATAAAAGCCCTATCGGTCTCCGATGTCCAGAGAGCAACGAAGAGGAGCGAGAGGTCCTCCGCAGCGGACCTTGAAACCCCCGCCGGATGGCGTCGAGTTTCGGAGAAAGCGTAGCCTCACTGGCCTTCCTATTTTCTCACCCAGGTTCGACGCAATCGTTCTCTTACATTCTTGTTCTATTACGATCGTTGCATTCCATACCTAATCTTCATTAAATTGCTTTGTGGAGCCGTTTCCTGTCGAAGAGGTAGCGATTGGGTTGACTAACATGGTTATCGGGATATCTTGTTGTTTTAGTTCTTGGAGATTTCCGTCTTCATCTATACCCCTACTAATGCAGCTTGTTTATCAACCCAAAAAATATCAATTTTGCGTGACATTCAAATATTAGGTCAATCTTGTTACTCATTTTCTGGTTTGGTGCTTGCATCGTCATATTAATGATAATAGATCTAATTCTACAATTGTTTTCAATGTCAGTTTGATGAAGAATGCTGATCTGATAACGAACAAAAAAAAAAAAACCCTTACTTTCAGCAGGACATGCAGGAAAAATTTTGGCCTATTGAAATTGAAGCTCATATGGGTGCATGATCTAGGCAAATTGCAACCTAGGTTATTTTATTAGGTCGACTTCATTATCTTTTGGTTATTCGGTCGGATGGCGTCGAGTTTTGAAGAAAGCGCAGTCACGTCGGCCTTCCTATTTTCTCACCCAGGTTTGATGCAATCGTTCTCTTATATTTTTGTCCTGGTACGATCGTTGCATTCCACACCTCAATTTTCTCACCTCAATTTTCTCACCCAAGTTTTCTTCTCACCCAGGTTTGATACAATCGTTCTCTTATATTTTTGTCCTGGTGCGAGTTTGAAGAAAGCGCAGTCACGTCGGCCTTCCTATTTTCTCACCCAGGTTTGAAGACAGATCTAGACTCTCCATTTGCCATGATGGATCTCAATTTTTTTATTTCTGCCCTCTAGATTACAAGTGTTTTACACAGGACAGCCAACACTTTATTATCTTTTTGTTAATTGATCGGATCTTAGAAATTATCATTTAATATTTTACATATGAAAATTCAGTTATTATTGTAGGTATCTATTGGTTTAGAGGCTCATTTTGAAAACTAGTCAATCTTAGTGGTTGGACCGAGAGTTATTAGTCACTTAATGTATTAGACTCGGATCGTGACATTTGGTATCAGAACCGACTTAGTATTTGGGCATGGTGAGGGGGCTCGAGTTGGAAAGGACTTATAAGTGTATTATGATAACTTATAAGTGTCTGATGAGTGTATTATGATAATTTTAGTTGAAGTATTTTGGTTAGTGATTGGATCAAACGAGAGTTGTTGATCAGTTAACGCATAAGACTCGGGTCGTGACAAGACATAGGAGTCTAACATACTAGGGTGGACCTTCAGATCGAATCATTTGGAGCATTAGATCCACTTAGAGCTGCTGCATGAGAAAGGATTTTATGATGAAGATTTAGAAACATGAACTAGTGAAGGATGCTTGGTAACTCTTATTTAACATATGTTTCGTGCCGTATACAATGGTCTTTCCTTGAAAATAAAGGTATGGGATTATTGATGTCAGCATAGTGGTATATGGAACACAAAGTTATTACTGATGATTACATAGTCAGCATATTTAGTGCTTATTATTTGAGTTTGCTCATAGTCCACCTGACCATTATCTATACTTTCAATTCTTTTGTCTGATGCTAGCTACTGAAAGTTTTGTCTAGCCAATGTCTGACCAGAATTGTGATAGTGGTAGCTGAAAACAATTATAGCAAAAGGAGAAGTTGCAATTTGAGATAGTCACTGTTAATGTTTCTAATAAAACATGTAAAATTTCAAGATATAGGTGACATGCAATAAACATATACCTAAATACAAGCCCAACCATTGAAATAAGAGGATTCTTGTCTGACTTGAGTTTCATTTTCGAACCGTACAAGTTTTGAGATGCATTCTACTGACATACTCTACCCATGCAGGCCACACTTTACCTTGCCTCAAATACCATGGACCGAGTATCCTTCTCCTGGTTCTCAGATCATGCTGAATCAACAGTCATCTTCCTTCCAAGATGATGCTTCCTAGCTCTTAATCTGAGGTGTTTGATGTGTTTGTAAAGGTATGTGATAATGGTGTGTGAATCAATGAGTCGAGAAAAATTTGATATCTCTGCTGTCGATTCGGTTTTGGTAGTTGGAAATCTAAATGCTAGTTAGTAAAGTCAAAGAAGCTTGAGATAACATCATAAATCAAGAAAATGTCACTGTTATGATGCAACTTTCTCTTTTATTTTTCTTGTGTGCCGGATGTGGTTTTAATTGATACAGCATATCGGTATCTGCAGTGACATCGCATAACAAATTTCATTTGGTCACTTGAGATTTATATTGATGTATGCATCTGGTAACAGTGTGTGATTTGTGTATTTTTATCTGAAACCTCATTGCAAATCTGCTGTTCAATAAACATTTTATTTGCTTCTCGAATATAAAAAGAAAACAGACCCTACTCAATGTTAGATTTTAATATAGATTGGACCATTTTCTAGTAGCTTAAAAGTTAAAACTTTTAGAATTACGAAATCACTCAATTTAAAATATTTATAGTAGTATCAAAGCAAATTTTATGTTCCTTACTTTATTCTATGTTTAATCAATATTTATGCAATGTTCCTTTTCACTTTTTAGCTTGTGCTATTTGCTTGGGTTCATTTGAGAACTTAACATGTAATAGTTTAAGATTAGCTGATAAGATTGTGAAGCCTGTGGATCATCGTCAGCCGCACACTAAGCCGGCAGGCAATTGTGATCACTTCGATGGGATGAGTGCATGCACCATCACCGGCCTCATCACTTCCCTACCGTTCTCCATGTTCACACACCGAGCCAATTTACGGTTTATGTCATTATAAACCCACATCATGCTCGTCAAGTGGCAAGTCGGCTGTGGAGTCCCGACAGTGCGCTTCTAGATGTGAAGCTACGACCTACGTAACGCCCACGGCCATTGACGACGACTTGGGTCACGACGAATGATGACCATCACCCACGGAGCAGTCGAGTCGTGGCACGAGCTCGGATGCATAGAAATGGGTGGCAATAATAAATGTGAGACGACTGAGGGGGGCCAGCACAGCTGCCTCTCTAATGGGATGCCGGTGTCAACATAGGACGACTAGCTCAAGTTGGCATGGTGGCGAGGAAAAGGGCATTGCCGTGGATCGCTTCCGCTAGAATAAAGCCTGTGTCGCTCTACCTATTTCCAAGTCATGGAGCACCATCTCGCCGTCGACGACTTCATCCATCACCACCTCCTCGTCGGCGACTTTGACCCCCTCCTCCTCCTCGTCGACCGGTCCCCACCGCCCATCCCTCCTCCTTACCACGACGCCCCCCTATACCCGACCACGACCGACGCCGGCCCGCCGTCGGGTCCGGACATCGGACAGCCACCCGAGGGCGGGAGGCAACCGCTGCCGTCCTCGGATGATCTGTCCGTCGGCAGGCGGTACCGTGGCGTCCGGCAGCGGCCCTGGGGGAAGTTCACAGCGGAGATCCGGGACCCCTGCCGCCGGGGGGCCCGGATCTGGCTCGGGACGTTCGACTCCGCCGTCGAGGCGGCGAGGGCGTACGATCAAGCCGCCTTCCGGATGCGCGGTCGCAGGGCGATCCTCAACTTCCCCAATGACGTCGGGAGATCCCAGCACCGTTTCCCGCTGGTGGCGGACGATGCCATCAGCCGCGGCGGCGGCGGCGGAGGAGGAGGAGATGGCGCAGGTCGTCATCCGTAGGCCGTAACTGCACGCTACAAGAAGCTAGACTGTCACTGTAGACTTCATGTAGAAGACTTGTTACTTGTTGACGGGTTGAGTGGGAACAAGGGCATTATGGGTATTGTAGGACATTCCTCAGTTATATCTCAACTAATACTCTATATAGCTGTGTTTGATTTCTTTTCCTTTTGGCTTTGTGAGAATATTAGATGGAAATATCAACATGATTGTAAGGTAAAGTTTAATCAAACTTTTAAATAATTGGAATATTTGGTGTTCTTTTCTTTATTTTTTTTGAATAAGTTGTTTCATTAAAAAAAATGAAAAAAAAATTGATGGTTGAATTTTTTTTTTCTTTTTTCCCTCAAGTAATTGCTTCTTTCAAAGTTGAGAATTGAGACTATATTTGCACCTCTAACTCGCAATCTTTAGCTTCAAGTTTTTCTGTGGAGATTGAGACGGTATAAAACCAGTATAACAATAAGAGAAAGAAGTCCACTAATTCTACACATGAAATAAATTGGCGAGCAAGTTTATTTTGACATTGGTATATTAGTCAACCCTGTGCACTTGTTTATGTATAGAAAACTAGGTTGACTGACCTTAGACTAATAGTCCAATGTGGGTGAAACATTGACAATAGTGCAATGCTCGAGTCGGCAAGACGATTCCACATCTTATTACACATTAATTAAAACAATATAAAATAAAGAGAATACTGTAAGATGAAGAAGGGTGTCTAAAGTGCGTTAATCAATAAAGGGTGCATAGTTGGTGAGGAATTGGTTGAGGTAGAATTGACCCAATTAATTGTGTTGCAGTTCTCACTTTGATTTGACTTTTCAAATCTCCATCAAAGTCTACTGTGATCACCTCTCCCGTTCAAACATACCTTAGACCAAATCCCCCAAATATGAATGGTCACAAATAAGATACTCAATAGCTTACTAAAATACGAGCTCTAATTTGACTCGTATACCAATTCACATGAGTATCTCTTAAAATAGTAAATACAGGAATACCATCGATCGTACGAATCTATGTATGTTATGTTTTTTTCTTATCACACGATACTAATGAAAGAAATACATATGTTTTTTTCTTATCACACGATATTAATGAAAGAAATACATATATCTATATTTACACAATGATAAATACGAAATGACAAAAAAAAGAAATAAGGATCGTCACTGTTGATTAGATCTTGCTCTATATGTCTATTTTCATAAAAAATAGAAAATTTTATTTCTTCGTTCATCGTAACACATCTTAGGATTAACGAGTTTCGAACCCATAGCTTCTACCTTGACAAAACAATACTTTGACCAATTGAACTACGAGCCTAATGAGATGTATGATATATATATTTTTAATGATTTTAAAAAAATATTTTTTACGTCGTGTTGTAACAAGACACGAATGATATATTACTAAACGATATCATATACATATAAATATGGAGCATAGTGAAAGTGACATCAAATTCAATTTAAACATATTAAATTGATATAGGTATACCCCTCCCTCACACCCTACTATGGAAATAATTATTTTTAAATATTATAAATTTAAATTTAATTATTCCAACCATTGTTAGTAGGGGCTAACTGGAGTGTTTCTAAGGGTTCTTTACTTATCTATTCATTTAAACTTTTTAGAACTTTATAGATCCCATTAATTGTTTAAATATTTTCATGTATGATTTTTAATTATCATTTACTCCAAAAAAAATCACATTAAGTTTAATTAAAAAATTATCTATGTTGAGATATCTGGGTTATTTAGTGTGTTGCTAAATAAATGATAGGTCTCAGTATCAGCTGTTGAATGAAATAAAAATATTTTTTTTTGTGAAAAATAAGAAAATAAAATTTCAAATACCAAAAATATTTTTAATACAACAATTGAAAAAAAATTAATTTAAGGATGCAGGTATAAAATTACTAATAAGCAAATAATATGTTGAATGATATTAATATCATTTGTAATAAACTCAAATTTAGAGGGATAAATATGAGAACAATTACATTTAAGTTTGTAATTGATGCTAACACGGAGAATATGTATTGCAAATATTAATATTTAGAAGGATGAGTTTGCATTAACAGAATCGTAAAGGCGCGGTAGAGGAAAATAATAAAATAGGGGTAAATACGCTATTTCGAAGCTCTACAAGGATATATATGTAAAAGGGTCCCTATAAATCGACCACTGGAACGATGGACACCCAACAGGAGGAGCGTTTAGGTCCGATACGAGTTCCGCCGTCACCGAGTCGCCGCCCCTCCCAAAAGCGCCGAGCTATCCTTCCCATCGGTACTCCGTCCGCCTCATGGCTTCCGCCAAGGTGAGCCTCTCTTTCTCCTCCCTCCTTGCCTCACTTCTTCTCGCTATCTGTCAGTCGCTCGTTTCCCCTCGAATCCCTCGCCCCGCAAATTAGGGCTTCGGTTTCCTCGTCCGGTCGCTTCCAATTTCTGGTTCTTGGAACTTACTTCGTTTTCAGTGAGATATTTAACATTTTTTGTTTTTAATATTCTAAGGTGGATGATCGTGGCTCATTCGGATCCAAAAGGTCACGCAGTGAAGGTATGATCTTAATCTGTGCAGATGACTCCGATAGGTTATTTGATCGTTTCTTATTTTTTTTGCCATGATTTTCCGTATCTCACAGTTTATTGGCTAAACTTTTGATTTGGCTTGGATTTAGATGCCGAACTGAAGTGAAGGATTTTGGTTCACTTAATGCATTGTTCTTTTAAATGAATTGGTCGTGCTGGATGAATCATCATAACCATCTATTATCATGCTTGTAATTGTACTTAGCTAGGTAAAAATTCTGCTTTGTGAAGCCACAATATTTTGAAATGGAGAGCCTCTCAATAGTTAGGTCAGTTCAAGTCTTGTTGTAAGAGGGAAACAACGGCAAATTGGAAAGGACATGACATTTCCTATGAAAGCTGCGTGAAAAGGGAAACCATACCAGTGACATATTTGACTTTGCTATTGAACCTTTGACGGCCTTTCTCCTTTGTTTCCTTTAGGATGCAGTAAAAAAGAACAAAAGGGGGAAAAAGCATGGTAAAAGCATATTAGGATCTGTCAAACTTGGTTGGCCAAGTTATGATTTGGGCAAAACAAATCAATTGTGGGACCTGATTTTCCTTAATCTATTGTATACATTTTTTGGTTATTGCATTAGCTTTGGCCTGTATTGTCACGCACTTAGCTGGTTTTGCCTAAGTCGTGCGGCACACTTGCGTGTCCGTCCGTAAAGGTCAGTTTCTCCGAAACCTCCTATGGTCCCTTAGGACCTACAAAAGAGAAAACGAATTAGAGAAAGCATCTCACTTGAGATCCACAAGTAATCTTTTCATTAAACACTTTATAGGTAATACAAATTACAAACAGACTTTACAAGCTCTGAATGGTTCACTACAGATCGATATCTCCCACAAGTATCCACATGACACAATCTTTATTTACAAGCCTAAAACGATCACCAAATCCAAAGAAAATAGGGTTGCTAAGCCTACTGCCAGCCCTTTACATGCTGTGCAAAGCATGAACAAACCAAAAGACACGGATATACATAAACATTACGTCGAACACCCCGTTTACAATTTTGTCTGTGACAGTATGTTAGTTGCCTGCAAGAGTGTCTTGCACCCTCATCCCTTATAACCGTATAAAATCGGCCCATGCATTACATGGTGCCTGTGTCTGTGCTATTTAGAATGGTGCCCTCAACTTTCCAAGACAAATGCATGTTCTCAGATAAGATACTAACTGGAACCTCATAAGACTTGGCACATGATATATGTTTTTGTTTTATCATTCATGACCAACCTAAGTTCTTTTTGACCTCTCTGCAGAGGTCAACCAAATGGTGCCATGATGAAAAGGGTAATCAAATCGACTGACCTCAAATTCTTGATTCAACCTAGACACCAAAATTAAACCTACCTATAGCAGCACTTTCAAATATTCATTAATACTATATGTAAGAACAAGAAAATCGTTGACAGATCTCAACATGGCAAATTAAGAAAACATGTCAGTTATATACTGAATACACCAAGGTGCATGAGACAAATAGTTTAAACTACTCAAAGGAAGAAGAACACTTTGCACAACACCTTGTATGGAAACTTTAAAAGGTACCAAAATGTTTGAATTTTCAGTAGTCAAGTTAATTTTCTCACATCACACACCAGGGGACACACTGTGCTGACATCGAACAAGAGTGTAACATCTATGCATTCAGCGGGCCAAAATAGTATTCACGTTCTGCAGATCACCAGTGGAAATGCATTGCAACAGGTGGTGTTGGACGTTTTATATTGTGAATTATTGGTCTTGTTCAATAGTAAAATAGTAATTATATACCATGACCCATGTTGGGTTAGTGCTTGCAGTATGCAATTCATCATGAATGCTCCATGACTATGGGCTTACGTTACGCCATTTGTGATTTGAGAGAGGTCTTCTTGATGGATTAAATAAACTTTTTCTCCCTAGCACTCATCTATTCTCTTACATTAATTTCTCATTTGTAAAAGGTCTTATTCTTACCTTATCTAAGCTGGACACCTCCAACGGCCTATCATCAGCTATTTCATGAGCAAATTATTTTGTGAGCAAATTAGTTCTCTTCCAACAGCCTTTTTATCATCATATCCTTTCAGAGAGTGAGAGTGTGTGTTTTCTTCTTAGAAGGAGAAGATCACAGAGGGATTGGCCATTGTATGAATGTTTTAGTTTTTTGTTTCTGTATATAGCTAGTGTTCCAAACAACACAACTAAGTCGATACTGTTATGCTGGTTTTCAGGTTCTCGGAGTGATGGAGATTGGACCTGTCCGCAATGTGGTAATGTGAACTTCAGTTTTAGAACAGTGTGCAATCGTGGAAGATGTGGTGCTCCTCGACCATCAGCCAGCCCAAATTCTGTTAGTTTCTCTTAGCACTATTCTTTCCATATGTATCATCAAACCACCTTATTTTCTTGTAGTTGTAAGCATTTAATTGTCAGGGGGTGTGTTGGTAGTATGTTGGCACGTAGACACTGGAACGGATCAACATAGGTTTGGTTATTATGGATCATGACCTCAAATTATGGTCAGAATGTTAAGTAACTTAAGCATGTACACGTTAGAAGATAGGCTTCGATCCTGTAAAATTGCTGCTGAATTTTTGGGCATGTTACACATTATTCTTTGGCTCATTACCAAATTCATCTATATATAATTATGTGATCAGAAGTTGTTTACCATTTAAGGGTGTCTTTGTGGTTACAATGTTTTTTGTCATTACTCTACAAAAGAGATAAGAGGAGCCAGCCAAATTTATGCACCGCTAAATTTATGGTTATTACCAATATTACCAACAATTAAGTAACAAGGTGAAAGCAATTGTATTTTGTAAATTAAAAATGATAAATAAAAATCATCAATTTGTTGCTATATTTGCTGCAAATATTTGAAAGGTAAAAGCTTCCATATAACTGGATTGTGCACTTGGATGTATGATAAGGTTATAAGGTCTTGTTCTTTATCCTATTTAATGACACCAACTTTCAGTTGATCAGTATAGAATAATTTCATGGGAAAGAAGTTTGGTAGGAATCGTTCCCCAATTTCAACTATACATATCTGCCATTTCTCTTTTCATGTGAATGTTGTTATACCCATTCGGCCATTCCAAAATTTTCCTTTTATTGCTTTACCAGAGAATAGGGCTGACACCTGTCCCTGGTGCTTTTGATCGTCCTTTACCTGGTTACTATGGTGGAGTTGGTGTTCCACCACATATGCCCCTTGGATTATCTGGTGGCTACGGTGCTCCACTTCCACTATCTGGGATGCGCTATGACTATGGTCCACTTAGCAGTCCAGGATATGGTCCCTTATCTGCATATGGTCCACCAGGACCAATAGGAGGTTCTCTCTCTCTCTCTCTCTTTGTATATACATTGTGTATTAATGTGAACATGTATTAATGAGCGTATGTTTGTATTAGCATATCTAAAATATGCTGTCACATATATTTTCATATGTGGCTGTGGTTCATTATGTGCATGCATGCCTGTATGCTTGCAGTGTTTGCATGTCCATTCTGAATAACTGGTTAAACTATTGGGTCATGTTCTGGTCACCATGACTCTAAATCTTTCTGAACTTGATGTGTGGTTAATGTTCCCATGTTTTGGCTGAAACTTTTGATTTGTGTCCATGTTTTTTCCTATTAACTTTTGTGGTTGTTGCAGGCTATGGTTATGGTCCTGGTCCTACAATGGACAGGTATGGCTATGGTTATCGAGGATCTCCAATGCCGGTATGCAATTTGTTATATAAACTTTATTTCATGTTATGGATACTTCATCTGATGTTTTATTTTTGTCTTATTATATGCTTGGATTCTAAGGTTCTGGGTCCATGGTCTGGGGAAGAACTTCCTGATAATAGTGCTTCACGTAAACGTCGTGGTGGTAAGTTTCTTAGTTTCTTATTGATTTGCTGATAGTGGAAATCTTCTCTAGCATTGTGAAACTATATCGTGTTTAGCATTGAACATGAATAGCAGAAACACATGCAACATGAGAACGGATGTGACTGGCATCTTGCCCAAGTATAGCATCATCTTTGCTTAAAAGGGCAGTTTAGTCTAAAGGAAAATCTTTTTTGATGGTTTATATACACATAAATTGCCAAATACATACTTGTCATGTGTTTCTGTTTTAGTTCATCTTGCTAAATTTCTATGATTTTGTCATTATATACATGCAGTTTATGGCTATCATTCCATTTTATATCCTATGTTAATTATTTGCATTAATAGTCTTTTATGGTCTTCATCATGCTAATAATGAATTCTTTAATCTCGTAAAACAATTGTAATTCATCTAACTACAACTTTTTCAGGTCCTGATGGGTCATTTGAGGGTGATTGGAAATGCCCTAAATGTGGCAATATTAATTTTGCCTTTAGAACAACTTGCAATATGAAGAAATGTGGAGCTCCCAGGCCTGCTTCTGTAAGTTATCTAACTAGCTTTTTTATTTATCTTCATTTGCAAATCTGATGTAACGGGTAAAAAGGCTATTCGTCTACAGGTATGCCATATGGTATTCATACAATAACCCAGATTTATTGGTGATTCAGCAAATCTGGTTATGTACAAGTGCCACATAGATGTTTGCACAATGCCATATTTTACTCATACATTAACCTAGATTTATTGGTGATTCAGAAAATCTGGTTATGTACAAGTGTCTCTTAGATGTTTGCACAATACTTTGGTGAACTACTGCATGCATTGCATACTTGCTCATGATTGACATGAACACTGGTTATTTCCCTTGAAAACTTATTTCATGAGTTCCATCTCCCATCTGATAAGAAAATAATTATTTGCATAACTTTTGTGATTCATTGTTCATGAGTAATTGGTCTTTTCTCAAAGAATTGGCATGAGGAATCTTTTCCATACATATTTAGGACAAAGTATGCATAAAACATCAGATTCAGTCATATTATTTAAATCATGCAACATATAGAAGATGAGCTCATGAAGAGCATAAACCAAAAATATATTTTTGGTGAATTGTGAAAATTTGATACGTGCACATGCATGCATTTATTAACAAAATAAATCATAGATCTTAATGTTAGGTGAAAACATGTTTACATATTGAGATTTTGGAAATCCTCAATTGTATCCTGAAAACCAACTGACTCAATCCAACAAAACCCTTGTCCAAAGTGGTATGCAACAAAACATTTGTAATGAAAAAGAATTTAAAGATTGTGAGTCCTAAACTGACTTTGCAACAAAACATTTAAAGATGTCAATACGTCTTCAAACGATGAAAAAGATTGGTAGAAGATAATAAATATGCTATAATGATTGTGAGTCCTAAACTGACTTTGTATATGACACCAAAAGGAGCTGGTGAGGTTCTGACCATTAGAAATTACCGAAACCATGTAAATTTGCTCAAACCCAAGTAGAGGAAAATAGCAACCGATTTGAAGGTCTTTAAAGTCATAGAAAAATATTTGTCTATTGTAATAGGTTTTTTGTTGCCAGTAGCCCATAAATAAAGGAGTCTGTGAGTCACGAAGGTATGGTTGAACTATCCTTTTCATTGTCTTTGATATCATTGCAATTCCCAGCATTTGGTTATTTTATTTTGGAGGCCCTTCTCTTTTTTTAACACAGAAACTCTAGTTAGGATGGGGTTGTACATAACATGACACCTTCAGTTTTATGTGTCCTCTTTATCCTTACGAAAAAAAAAAAGGCTTTATATGTTTGCTTGCTGAAATTATTATTCAGCTCTCGTTGCTCAATTCTTTGTCCTCTAGAGCATCACATATCATCTATTTGAGGCACATGTCAATCCCTGCTGACACAATACAGGTGGACCACCAAAGCTCCTTTGCCATGAAATGTAAAATCTTGAATTTAGGCTCTTCCAAGTTTTTCACTGAACTGCTAAAAAATTGGTGAGTACCTCGGAAGTTATTTTCATAGGCTGAGTACCTTGAGGGTTATACGTGCCACAAAACTTAAATACTATATTAAACAGTGATACTTTACATATACCACAAAGTATTCACACGTGTGTGTGTATATATATATATATATATATATATATATATATATATATATAAGGCATTGATGCTTTTTGAATCTAGTTTAATTGGTACATTTATGAGTGGATACATCTTACATGTTGCCATATTTTATTGTTCAAAATCTATTGCCTACTATTTGTGTCTCTATTGAATACATTATGATTGATAGGCTCTTTGTTTTACAAGATAGTTTGATCTTAATTCTTAAGGTCACACCATATACCCTTTAATTACACCATAAAATTAAACCATTTTGAATTCCTAGAAGGATCATGAGTTGTCAATTACTAGAAGGCTAGTAGTCAGACTGGATGAGTTGACAACTAAGCCAGTCGACACCGGTGTCAATCCTGGATTTGAAGATAAACATTCTGAGTAACTATTATCTTACCTGATTTTGTCAGATGAAGAGTTTGTAGGTGGGGTAGAGAGGAATCTGATGATCTGCAGACCGTCTCAGTCAATACATTTTGCTAACTGGAAATATTTATATTTCATTATTTTCCATGAATATAATAACTTGATTTGATTTCTTTATCCTTTGTCCTGTTAGGCTTCCAATCGTGTCGACAAGGATGTGCCAGACGCTCCAGAAGGCAGCTGGACCTGCCCCAAGTGCAACAACCTCAACTACCCCTTCCGCAATGTCTGTAATCGGAAAGGATGCGGAAGCGAGAAGCCTTCTACAAGCTGATGGTCAATTTTGGCTACTGCTGCGGTTCAAAGTGATGATGTATTACAACCTCTTCATATAATTATCATGTCAGCACTTTGGATAGGCAAACATACAATCCATAGTTTAGCATGGGACTGATTTATCCTTCCTTGTATTATTAGTTTGTTGCCTTAGTTTGTAGGCTTTGCCGGGTATCGTGACTGACGGAGTAATCTCATGTAGTCATCAGATTTTTATTCAAATTGCATCTTTTGCATCTGTAACGATGGTTCCAATGTTAATTTTTTGATTGTTTTCTTTTGTGATTCATAAAAATTGGACAACAATTTGAGAGGAGATTATTTTTCTTAAAATATGGGCAAATAAATTTAATAATAATGGTTATTCTATTTGGAATGTGATGATAGGAGGTATAAGTGTCAAGGGTATGAATACTCGTGTGGCCTCGTCTCTAATGGGACAAGGACGAGGGGAATAAACGAGGATTATCTTTTATTATTATGTGGATATGGAACATTGATGGGTAGATTGCTTTTTATTTTGTCTTGGACTCATCCCCTTTTTATCATATTAATATGCGGGTCTAGACGTTGGCTTAAAATGTTCGACCCATCTGATTCAAATGTTGTGCCTTGTTTTGATTGCAAGCCAATCATGAGCTATTTGATTCGATTCAATCAGATAAAATAATATTAATATTTAATAGTAATATCCTCGTTTGTGCTGATTGTTATTATTTATAAATTTTGATATTATTAATTAGTTTTGAGAATAATTTTATTTTTTTAAAATAGAATGAATTAGTTTGGAGAATATGAAGAATCTATATGTTTCTCGCCTCTAATAGAAAAATGAGCCGGGAGGGAACGATGGGGATGAAACGCGGACAAGAAAACACTCGTAGCTCTACTTTATTAGATGTGAGGGGTGCTAAATTGGAATTGTTTACGTGATTATACTCTTCAAATTGTAAGTAAATCTCGATAGTTTTATGTTTTATTGATTGACTCATTAAAGTCACGATTATTTTGTAGAATAAAATGTTATTGTTTACATGATTAAACTCTTCAAATTGTAAGTAAATCTCGATAGTTTAATGTTTTATTGATTGACTCGTTAAAGTCTCGATTATATCGTAGGATAAAATGTTTTTGAGACATCCGACTTAGAAACCCGACCGACGTTAAGATAAATCCATTATAGCGGAAGCACAAGGCCATATAAGCTCGAGGTGTGTGAGTCGGAAACTTGACCCACGCTAAGATAAATTCACTACGACAGAGGCGTAAGACAATAAATATGTGCCCGAGACATGTGAGCTAAGAAAAACCAACTCGCGACTACGAGTCTCCTTCACGCTACAAAGGAGTAAGTTGGCGATAAGGTTGTTGGGTGAATTGAACACCGCACTTCGGATCCCTCTAACTGGAGTCCCAAAGCACACTTTAGACGTGGGGGGATAAATGATAAGAAACATATTAACAATCGATCACCATTCGACATCTGTCGCCACGTGGATGTTGGGAAATCTAGCGATGACATCGTATGCGCAACGGAAGAACATAAAATAAAAATCCTAAATTTTTCAAAAAGGTATTCGTTGCCGTGTAAGATTGGTGCGCAAAAACCTGCAAAACTTAAATCCACGTGTGAGATAGTGCTTTTACCTAGGAATATCATATATTATTGAATTCCTACAGATCTGTGGTATTGAATGAAGGAGTTCAAGTGTCATTATCTCCAGCAGTGATTCACACAGCAGGGCTGCAACGATGCTCCTCTAATCACTACCTAAATCTCCACATTTACTATCTGAGGAGGAAAAGGGAAGAGGAGAATAGAATGTGGCAACTAGGAAGCCTCAACCTATGAGTCTTTGGTTCCCTCCTATTTATAGAGGCTCCCAATTAACTTAACCCTAATTGAATCCTACCCTATTTGATACTAGATCTCCATCCAATTACCTAAGCCTATTAGATTAGTGGGTCTCTACCTAATAATCTCTTATTAGCTTTTATTATATCTCACTCATGGGATCTAATAATTCAGGGGCTTATTGGATATCCAATAAGATAGGTGCTCCGGTGGATATCTCATATCTGAACCTCTACTCGTCGCAATGCCTACTACACGTGTGTGACCCTCTAGGCCCAATATCGAGCTGGCTATGAGTCATACTTGTCAAAACTCCTTCTTGCTTAGTGAATTATTATCTCTATAATAATTCACTTGACTCATCGATTACGGATGTACTAGGCCACTACGTCATAGTCCCCAGACAATATAGGAGAATCTAATCATTTGAACATATCTGTTCTTAGTTACCATGTACCTATAGTCTCTCATTCATATAATATCCCAGAGATCGTATATCGGACATGGTGTTGTCAAGCCTATATGATTTCTCTTTGAGTCTCATTCTAATCAGATTCTCCCGGAGAACTCTTTCTCTCTTAATCTGAATGACCTTGGCTAAGGATTTGTCTGAGCAAGAACACATAATATTTCTCTTGTGATACCAAGAGCGGATGATCCTCTATCGACGCTCAATAGCCCTCATAAGGTTTGTTGTCACTCCCAATGACCGATTACATTAGATCTAAAACTTCTAAACCTATAAGTCCAGTGTCAAAGAGTGGAGTACTCATACATGATATCCTTAATATCTCAAGTCTAAGGACCAAGTACACTACTAAAATGACAGAATCACTGTTTGACAATGAGGTATAATCAATCATCCAACATTCCGCAAGCGGATCAATAAGTGAACTCAATCTCCAATAAACACTTACATTGTATCCCTAGTATCCCAACACGAGCCGCTATAAGACCAGTCGCCTCCATCATATAGATGGGTATACAGTACATAAGTCTATTCGGTTATCTCAATATCTCTCTCGAGTAACATATGATCAGGATTATTTAGGATCTATGTTTAAATGTGAATCGGTCTTATTATCGTGATCTCATCACGATTTGATTCTCATTGCACAGATCCATAAATATCACACACACACACACACACACATATATATATATATATATATATATATATATATATATATATATATATATATATATATATATA